AATGCCACAGTTCAGTGAATCAATGCAGATGTTTAATTAGGAACATGGTTGTAAGACTTTACATCCAATTTCCCCGTTGGCTTCGCAAAAGGGGATCACGTGACTTCGAGACACTGCGGCCGTCATAAATAGGAGTCAGTTGCCAAAAAAATCAGAATTTTTATCACAGGACCGTGGGAGGCGTACAGGGTGGTGTGTGTGGGAAAAACGCTCATTAAGTCATTTTTTTCAGTAGTAGTAGTAGTAGTAGTAGTAATAATAATAATAATAATAATAATAATAATAATAATAATAATAATAATAATAATAATAATAATAATAATAATAATAATGGTAAAGTTAGAAGGGACCTTGGAGGTCATATAGTCCAACCCCCTGCACAGGAAACGACAAATGGCTGTCCAGTTTCTTCTTAAAAACTTCCAGTGTTGGCGCATTCACTGCTTCTGGAGGCAGGTTGTTCCACTGGTTAATTGTTCTCACTGTCAGGAAGTTTCTCCTTAGTTCCAGGTTGCTTCTCTTCTTGATGAGTTTCCATCTGTTGCTTCTTGTCCTGCCTTTGGGGAATAGCTTGACTGCCTCTTCTTTGGGGCAGCCCCTGAGATATTGGAACGCTGCTATCATGTCACCCGTGGTCCTTCTCTTCGTTACCCCGGTAACTTCGAACAGTTACTAAATGAACCGTTTTTAAAACGAGGATTACCTGTACATTGCTTCGTGTCAGATTTACCTCGGTCAAATTCTAAAGACAATCTCATCAAACAGCTAAAACACACGAGGAACGGCTGTGGGACTTGGGTCTGGCTAGTCTAAAGAAAAGAAGAAATAAGGGGGACATGATAGCAGCCTTCCAGTATCTGGGGGGCTGCCACAAGGCAGAGGGGGTCACGTTATTCTCCAAAGCATCAGAAGGAAAGACAAGAAACAACGGTTGGAAACCGATCAAGGAGAGAAGCAACCTGGAATTAAGAAGAAACTTCCTAACAGTCAGGACAATTAACCAGTGGAACAGCCTGCCTCCAGAAATCGTGGGTGCTCCATCCCTGGAGATTTTTCAGAAGAGACTGGACAGTCACTTGTCTGAGATGATATAGGTTCTCCTGCTTGAATGGGGGGGCTTTCCTTCCAGCTCTATTGTATTCTAAATATTTATAACACAAGAAGATAGCTTTGTCTTAAACAACAGGAGATGGAAAAAGGGGTGAGCCCAAACGATGAACTATGGAAGCAGAAGAGTGAAAGGAAGATTCTGCATTTACCAAAACGAAAATCAAGACGAAGGGATTCAGCCAAAGCCTTGCCGGACGACATTGATTTCGAAGAAGACCCCCTTTGATATGATTCTAAATTTCTCCGCAATAACAGTCAATTAAATTAGCAATTCCCTAGAAATACGACCGCTCTGTCCACGGGGCAATTTAAGCGTCAACCTCAAAACTCAAAAGGGATTTTTTCCTTGCCAGCTGTAACCCTGGGATTGCTTAAATACTTTAATGATTTGGTCTTCACTGAGTCATATCCAACTCCGGCGCGTTTCAAAGATCGGGCAGAAACCGGTGGCTACTGCAATATTTCCAATTTACAGCTCGCCCAGTGTTTAAGGTGACCTTCTAGGGAACTTAATAACGTTTAGATAATGATAAATATTTCAGCAATTCTGTTTAATTGTGTCAGCTCGCTATCCCTGGGCGGCAGCAACAGCAGCAGCGTAAATACATCACAACTCAGTGAAAAGAGAGAGGGCTGGCCACAAAAAGAGAGTGTCTCCTTTCTGCATATTATTTCAATCAGTAAATAAATCTCATTTTGCAGGAACCCAGCGTGGCTACCTTAAGGAAACAGGAGGTAAACGGACAGCCTCAAGAGCTTGCAGCAAATTAAACAATAATTCAATTTAATAATGAGAAATATGCTTCGCGATGGCTTATGGTTCTAAGCTCACCATCCATCGTGTCTCCTCAATGGCACAAAGAGCTGCCTATAATAATAATAATAATAATAATAATAATAATAATAATACTCGATAGGTAGACAAAATGCCAAATCCAGTCTGAACATCTGGCTGACTGTGCGATGATCCATAATAATAATAATAATAATAATGATGATGATGATGATGATGATGATGATGATGATAATGTTGGAAGGGACCTTGGAGGTCATCTAGTCCAACCCCCTGCTCAGGCAGGAAACCTTATACCATTTCAGACAAATGGCTGTCCAGTCACTTCTTAAAAACTTCCAGTGTTGGAGCATTCACAGCTTCTGCTGGCAAGTAGTTCCACTGATTAATTGTTCTCACTGCCAGGAAGTTTCTCCTTAGTTCTAGGTTGCTTCTCTCCTTGAT